CAGCAGCAGCAGCAGCAGTAGCAGCAGCAGCAGCAATAGCAGCAGCAGCAGCACCGTTTGGCCGTATCTGAGTGCCGATTTTCTGTTCTGTTTCTAGGGTTTCAGAAGCAACGTTAGACACTTTTTGGGTGCGCTTCTCGGACTAGTTCGTCCTTCAGGGCCATGGTGTTTTGGTGTGGCGAAGGGTACGTTTTGGAGGCCTGCAGCACCAGTTGCAGCAGCAGGACTAGCAGCACCAGCAGCAGCAGCAATAGCAGCAGCAGCAGCAGTACCGTTTGGCCGTGTCTGAGTGCCGATTTTCTGTTCTGTTTCTAGGGTTTCAGAAGCAACGTTAGACACTTTTTTGGGTGCGCTTCTCGGACTAGTTCGTCCTTCAGGGCCATGGTGTTTCGGTGTGGCGAAGGGTACGTTTTGGAGGCTTGCAGTACCAGTTGCAGCAGCAGGACTAGCAGCACCAGCAACAGCAGCAGCAGCATCGTTTGGCCATGTCTGAGCACCGATTTTCTGTTCTGTTTCTAGAGTTTCAGACGCAACGTTAGACACTTTTTGGGTGCGCTTCTCGGACTAGTTCGTCCTTCAGGGCCATGGTGTTTCGGTGTGGCGAAGGGTACGTTTTGGAGGCCTGCAGCAGCAGGACTAGCAGCACTAGCAGCAGCAGCAGTAGCAGCAGCAGCAACAGCAGCAGCAGCAGCACCGTTTGGCCGTGTCTGAGTGCCGATTTTCTGTTCTGTTTCTAGGGTTTCAGAAGCAACGTGAGACACTTTTTCGGTGCGCTTCTCGGACTAGTTCGTCCTTCAGGGCCATGGTGTTTCGGTGTGGCGAAGAGCTCGTTTGGCCGTGTCTGAGCACCGATTTTCTATTCTGTTTCTAGGGTTTCAGAAGCAACGTTGGACATTTTTTGGGTGCGCTTCTCGGACTAGTTCGTCCTTCAGCGCCATGGTGTTTCGATGTGGCGATGGGTACGTTTTGGAGGCCTGCAGTACCAGTTGCAGCAGCAGGACTAGCAGCACCAGCAACAGCAGCAGCAGCATCGTTTGGCCGTGTCTGAGCACCGATTTTCTGTTCTGTTTCTAGAGTTTCAGACGCAACGTTAGACACTTTTTCGGTGCGCTTCTCGGACTAGTTCGTCCTTCAGGGCCATGGTGTTTCGGTGTGGCGAAGGGTACGTTTTGGAGGCTTGCAGTACCAGTTGCAGCAGCAGGACTAGCAGCACTAGCAGCAGCAGCAGCAGTAGCAGCAGCAGCAACAGCAGCAGCAGCAGCAGCACCGTTTAGCCGTGTCTGAGTGCCGATTTTCTGTTCTGTTTCTAGGGTTTCAGAAGCAACGTTAGATACTTTTTGGGTGCGCTTCTCGGACTAGTTCGTCCTTCAGGGCCATGGTGTTTCGGTGTGGCGAAGGGTACGTTTTGGAGGCCTGCAGCACCAGTTGCAGCAGCAGGACTAGCAGCACCAGCAGCAGCAGCAGCAGTAGCAGCAGCAGCAGCAGCAATAGCAGCAGCAGCAGCACCGTTTGGCCGTATCTGAGTGCCGATTTTCTGTTCTGTTTCTAGGGTTTCAGAAGCAACGTGAGACACTTTTTGGGTGCGCTTCTCGGACTAGTTCGTCCTTCAGGGCCATGGTGTTTTGGTGTGGCGAAGGGTACGTTTTGGAGGCCTGCAGCACCAGTTGCAGCAGCAGGACTAGCAGCACCAGCAGCAGCAGCAGCAGTAGCAGCAGCAGCAGCACCGTTTGGCCGTGTCTGAGTGCCGATTTTCTGTTCTGTTTCTAGGGTTTCAGAAGCAACGTTAGACACTTTTTTGGGTGCGCTTCTCGGACTAGTTCGTCCTTCAGGGCCATGGTGTTTCGGTGTGGCGAAGGGTACGTTTTGGAGGCTTGCAGTACCAGTTGCAGCAGCAGGACTGGCACCACCAGCAACAGCAGCAGCAGCATCGTTTGGCCGTGTCTGAACACCGATTTTCTGTTCTGTTTCTAGTGTTTCAGACGCAACGTTAGACACTTTTTGGGTGCGCTTCTCGGACTAGTTCGTCCTTCAGGGCCATGGTGTTTCGGTGTGGCGAAGGGTACGTTTTGGCGGCTTGCAGCACCAGTTGCAGCAGCAGGACTAGCAGCACTAGCAGCAGCAGCAGCAGCACCATTTGGCCGTGTCTGAGCGCCGACTTTCTGTTCTGTTTCTACGGTTCCAGAAGCAACGTTAGACACTTTTTGGGTGCGCTTCTCGGACTAGTTCGTCCTTCAGGGCCATGGTGTTTCGGTGTGGCGAAGGGTGCGTTTTGGAGGCCTGCAGCAGTTGCAGCAACAGGACTAGCAGCACCAGCAGCAGCAGCAGCAGCAGCACCGTTTAGCCGTGTCTGAGCGCCGATTTTCTGTTCTGTTTCTACGGTTTCAGAAGCAACGTTAGACACTTTTTTGGTAGGCTTCTCGGATTAGTTCGTGCTTCAGGGCCCTAGCACCAGTTGCAGCAGCAGGACTAGCAGCAGCAGGACTAGCAGCACCAGCAGCAGCAGCAGCAGCAGCAGCAGCAGCACCGTTTGGCCGTGTCTGAGCGCCGATTTAGGGTTTCAGAAGCAACGTTAGACCTTTTTTGAGTGCGCTTCTCGGACTAGTTCGTCCTTCAGGGCCATGGTGTTTCGGTGTGGCGAAGGGTACGTTTTGGAGGCCTGCAGCAGCAGTTGCAGCAGCAGGACTAGCAGCAGTTAGAAGTTTTTCGGTGGGATTCTCGGACTCGTTCAACGTTTGGCCGTGTCTTTGTGCAGTGGCAGCAGCAGCAGGTGCTCGGACTCGTTCGTCCTTCAGGAACGTTTGACCGTGCAAATCATCACTGATGGGTTTGCCATCTTTCTTGGCTGCAAGTCTTGCCAGCAGGGGTTTTGTGTTTTACTTGAATTCGTCCGGCTGCCGCCGATGACAATACGATAGTCCCGCATCTAGGGCATGCGTGTTTGTGGACGCGACCTGACACAACGCCAGCATGAACACGAAACTCATTGCCACACGCATGACGGTGATCAACCTGACCAGTTTTCACTGTGCTGGCCACAGCAACTGTACAGAATGGGCACGTGTACTGGTAGCGCTTAGACTCCTGATTGGCTACTGACACAGCCTGCAGCGGAAAATCTTTTCCACCAGGTTGCTGGTGCGCGCCTTGTTGTCGTGTAATCGTTTCCTGCGGGCGACGGAGTCGCTTGCGAAGAGGCTCCAGTCGGGCCACTGCTGACGTGGCACTAGTGCGTTTGTTTCTGTGCTCGGCGATTGCTTCCCATGTCTCACGGAGAATTTGTCGCTGGCGAAGCTTTTTGCGCAGAGGTTCCAAACGCTTTGTACTGGCTGCTGCGGCGCGTTTGCGCATGGTCGCCTGCGCTGTGATTGCATGGCATGCGTCGCATACTTGTGTGCCATTTTGGCTGGACAGTCGTTGCTTGCAAAATATCTCTGTTTATTCCCCATTTTGCTTCGCAAAAAATCACACATCTTGCCGTTCAAAATCCACCGCTCACCCGGCCCTCCTTCGAGTAGAGGGCGAAGCAGTCCATCGCCAAGACAAGCGCTGCAAAACCATAGGAAACACTGCTGCTACGAGCTGGGATGCACCAACACCATACCGGGATGAACCCCATGCAGAACCTGAAAAATGGGTAAGTTAACAAACATGCCAACTCAAATAGGATGATGTGATACAGTACCTTAAATTCTTTTTGCCTGTAGCTACCACCAGGACGATCACAAGATCAAAACCCCCCATGTTTTCACCAAATTCATCTACTAAATACTGATAATAATTTAATTGTAACAGTGATAACAATATATATATATATATTCTGATGCTGAAGCTAATGATGCTGCTGATGCTACTGGCTTGGGCCCATGTTTTTTTCTTTCCATTTCACAAACCCAATTATTACGATGTGCCTTTTTCCTTGCGAAGCCTACGACTCACGCAAGGGTGGTCAGACACACCATCCTAAAAGAAATGGAAAGAAAAAACCATGAGCACAAACCAACAATTCCGGTCAAAAACAAAAAGATAATGGAAAAACACAAAAACAATCAAACAATGAAGAAGTGAAAGAACCGTTAAGTCATCAAAAAATAATAGACAATCTTAATGATACATTCCCTTCTTTTCAAATCTTAGTTGAATAAATGAAAACTTTAAAACCCTAAAAACCTCAACAAATCCTGACCCAATCAATGATACTCCCCTAAAATAATCAACGAGGTTAGGATGGAACGTTTTTACCCAAAATGTCTTACAACATACATCACAAAAAACATCAACACCAAGGAACGCACGTTCCCCTTTAACATAAAAACCATAACAGGCAACAATGCGTGTAAAACTGTCCCAGAAACATCCTTTCCCCATTTTTTTTTTGGGGGGGGTGCAGGCCTGTACCATATATACGTTCTGACGGCTTGCCAATTCTTCCGGGGTCGGCGGCAGGGGCGGCAGCCCTTAAATAATGTGATGTCATATCATATCATATCATATAATACAACGTAATATAGTGTAATACAATGTAACATACAATGTAATACAATGTAATAAATATATAATGTAATATAATGTAATAAAATGTACTATAATGTAATATATAATGTACTATAATGTACTATATAATGGACTATATAATGCAATATATAATGTAATATAATGTAATTTGATGTAATACAATGTAAATATTATGTAATGTGATGTAAGATAAGACACCGAAAGATATAATGTGTTTTAATAAAATATAATGCAGTAGGATACTATACGATACGATGTGATATGATATTATATTATTTGTATATACTGTATAATATTGTATGTGCCTTTGTGTCCGTCTGTGCGAGTACGTCCGTATGTTCGTATGGACTTAGAACTACACGTGATGGCTTGGCAGCGACAAAAGCAGAAGCTAGAAAATGGCACAGAAAGTAGCTGACTAAGTGGCACATTCACCAGCTCTACATCTGGTCATGGACGTTCAGCTTTGCTCAACGTGCAACCAAGAATCAGAAACTCGATGGCACCGCAGGCATGGGACCACATCCCAAAGGCGGACGAAGCCACCTCCGTTGGTTTTGCACTCGTATACTGGCACAATTTGCACAATTGTTTGCTGAGAAGTGCGAACACACTTTTAAAGACTTTCATGTTCTTTCATTCATTTCTGCTGTTGATCTGGCCTGCAGTGAAATACAGGCCCCTCTTTTGCCCAGCATGTCTTAAAAGACACGACATGGCCTGACTCAAAGGTTCATATCCACATTCAAAACTCTTAACACCCACACTTTGCTTCTAACTCAGTACCAAAACAGTTAGATACAGGTTGCCTGAGCAAGTGAAATGAGGCATTGCCACCAAGCCTTTGAAAGCTCATTGTAGGACCCTCTGTACCGACCACCGGCCATTTTTGGCACAGGTTGCAATGTGATTGAATACAAGTCGACTCAATCCAGGCAGACGTTCCTTGTTTTCCATTTGGTTCACTCTGAGTCTAGTTATCTGTAGAGCTGAGTGGGAACTAAAGCTGCTGAAGCTACTGGACTTGCTCTTAGATAGAACAAGTTTAAATGTTGATGTGTTCTCATCTTTGACCTCAAATGGCTGTTGTACTTCTGGTGTCCACGGTCCACAATGCTTCACTCGCACCATGGACATTGCAACACACTTCTCAGACTTCTCCTGCAAACCCAAGGCTACTCGTCCGGAGCGACCTCCACCGGGCTTTGCCACAGATCCGGCCTTAGTGTAACACGATGTGACTCTGAAACGCCACTGTGCTACTTCTGCACCAGTTCTGTGAAGTTACCATCGCAAGAACAACCATCTAGATACGTGCACAATGGTGGTTGCAGAAAATGACATAAAGTAGCTGAGAGACTGCCCGACTTGCGAAAGAATGGAAGAGCTGTTTCATGGCCTGACGCGCTCATGTCTCCAAGCAATCTGGGCTCCAACATTGCATTCTCAAAGACACAAGCAAACAAATAGCAAACAAACGTTATTCTGAATTCTTCATATAATTAATTCAAACGCTCCACGAGAGCAGGGATAGCCCATCGTGCACAAAACTGGGAAGATGTTTAACAATCTTAACATATCTTAAGAATCCTCGCAATGTTTGCCGCAAAACCTATCAGGTGGAGGTGAGCCTGTCCCAGCTCTTCTGGCGAGGCCATCCCAGACGAACCAACCTAACTTGGACGCGTTGACGGTGCAGGAAACTCAAAGGACTTGATCTGATACAATACGAGACTCTTTGAACCCGAATGCCATTCTACTTACAACGAAAATATGTTTTCCAAGAAAGCGCAGAGACTTGCACGTAAGTTGAGTTGTTGGGTGCTCTTGTCTCGCCACCTGATCGCAAGAAAAGTGTCCCTGGCATGAATTACTCTAGGCGGTGATGCGAATTCCGCACCATCGAAAACAGGATACATGACATTTTAGGTGACCTTCTCCAGCACCTTTGGCAGAAGAGATGCCACCTTCGAGTGAAAAGACGGATTGTATTATAAGGCGGCCCAAGCTGGCATGATGTGGTTCAACTGATTTGCTGAGAAGATCTGACCGATGAATAGTTGACAAATTAGCAACACATCTCAGCTGAAGTCAGCTGAAGTTTCGCATTTGATTTGCATGTTTGACATGTTTGACATGTTTGACATGCACATCAAGGAATCCCAAGAAGTACCTGCAGCAATGCTCGGAGGCGGTGCTGGCGGGGGCGGCGGCCTTGGGTGACTGCACACTTTGCACTGGAAATCCCTGCTTTGGATCAAAAACACGAAGGATTGTTCCAAAGCTTCGTGCGCACGGAGAAGGCCACCACGAGGGTTTCGACCCACCTGGACCACATCACAGACGACTTCAACATGTTCAAACCAGCTGGCCAGGAGGGCCTCCAACAGTGAACCGGGTAACCGAATTCGAATTTTCAAGGGAAGATGGGAGAAGTGCAATCCCACAGCAGCATAGCGAGGCACCGAAAGCTCCTCAGGCGCTTCTGAAAGCCCAAAAGTGGCCTTCGCGATACAGTAGACAAGTGCAGGAAGGAATTAGCTTGTGACACAATGTTACACATCTGAATCTGAACGAAATGAATTGCCTTGCATGGACACGAAATCATCAGCTGATGCCTCTGCAGGCTTTGAGGTGTCTGCAAATGACCTGTTCACGCAAAGCAGAAGGAAACTTGGTCCGAGTTCTGAACTGGTGCCGTCAGGCACAGTCCAGCGTGTCCAGATCCAAATAGGATTTATCCTTGCAGAGAATCTCTTCCAATCCTCCCATCAAATGCCATTTGATGTTTACACCATTGCACCTCGGACTACGTCCTCGTGGCCGTCCGTCCCCAAAGTCCGGGGGCGGTGCCTGCACGGCAACCAAACGCTGATGACGTGCTCTTCCAACAGAGAAAAGGTGATCAAAGTATTGTCAAAGTATCGTCAAAGCATCAATGAGTATTGTGACTAAGATCATCCAAGGCTCAAGCTGCATCTAGTGGGGGTGGCACAGGTGGTGGAGCCATTTCTGAAAGCAAGCGTCCCTGCATTGGCTGCGTGTAGAGAGGAGCCACTACATGAGAACATACATCAAAGATGGCAAGGCGGTCATAGTTTGGAAACATCCAAAGTTGTGATAACTTGCCCCGACACCACTGGCATATTGGGAACCTCACAAACAAGACATCAACCCAGAAGCGAGAGGCCTCCAACATAGGGTGCAGTGGCTTTTCTCTTGGAGAATTGCCTTTCAATATACCTTGCAAGCCATTGCCTGAGGCCTCAGAGCAAAAGGTGTTCGAATGCTTAGGGTGCTGTTGCTGGTTCTCATCTTATACTAAGGTGCAAACAAATAGAGGTCTTGCAGTATTTCCAGCTTCCTCCAAATGGCTTGCATCCATGAGTGACTGGAATCTCTGCCCTTTTAAAATAGCTAGTACAGCCCTTGAAAATCAATCCATCCCCACTCCCTGCCTCTTCCAAAACTCGAAGCTGGCGCCTCGAACACTACCATACGCAGTTTGGACCAGAAAAAATGATAGAATTCTTAGCAACACCAGAAGACAAGCCCCAAAGTGTCGGGCTTCTTCTGCTCAATGCCCCGTTGCAGGGCAATTAGCTCTTCTTCTGCACTGACCTCCGATCAAGATGCAGAATTGATCATGGGCATCAGAACCATTCAGAACCTCTGACGCCAGAAACCCGGCGCTAACATGCCTGAAAGTGCAAGCATGCAAGCTAGGCCGCTAGGCAGCTAAGCATTCATGTCAAATGGACACAGTTGGACGCTGAACAATGTTGCACACAAGCCTCAGAATCAAGTGTCCAGATCTTGCTATTGTGCAACTGAGATACATGTGCATGTATATGGTGTATATATATATACATGCTACACTGTTTCTGCTCGAAAAGCGTTGTGAATGCATGCGGACTGTGCACAGAAGATAAAGATGGAACCGAGTCACTTCGATTCAACAAAGCCTGAGACCAAGATTGAACGATGCAAGCGTGATGCAAGTACATAACGGTAGCACGTATGTGAATATGTCCGTTTCTAATTAAGTGTATCACCTATACATACATACATACATACCATACATTACATTACATTACATTACATTACATTACATTACATTAGATTACATACATACATACATTTCATGTTGTATGATATGTATATATAAATAGGTATTAATAGTGTATGCAATTTATATATATAGTGTATAAATATATATATATGTGTGTGTACAATGTACATGATGATGTGTATTTTGTGTATGTGTGTATGTATGTATGTATGTATGTATGAATGTATGTATGAATGTATGTATGCATGCATGCATGCATGCATGTATGCATGCATGCATGCATGCATGGATGTATGTACAGTATGACAGTATGACAGTATGACAGTATGCATGTATATATATATATATGTATGTATCACCTTATTTATCATTTGTGTACATATAATATATACTAGTACTGTCGTATATCAACCTCCAAGTGGTCCAAGCTGCCCCGACCTGACCTGTGTGCCCGGTGCAAGGGCTGTGCCTTTGGCAGAACTCCTTGCCTCCAGAACGCGACGAACCAGTGGTTTCTGAGTCAGTCATAGGTATCTATCAGATTTCCATCAGATTTCCATCAGAAATTTCGTTCTGCACCCCTCTTGATCTTGTTCTTGAGCAAATCCAACAAACATAATTACATCGATTCTATCATGATTCTGTCCTCTCTGTCAGGCCAAGCCGAAGATATGGATGATTGACCACCTGCAAACAACACGTCTTTGCCATCCGGATCTAAATGGCTTGCATCGAAGAGGATGCATGAGCCTTGGTCGGCTATGCCTGTCTCCCCAGCCTGCAGAAGCATGTGGAAGTTTGCAATGAATTCTCAGTCGTTTGATTATGTTGGAATTGCCATGTTGCATTGCCAATTATTGCCGTTTCAAACGAAGTGCACTTTGTGCCATAGCCTTGCTTGCACTTGATGCAGCAGGACCTCACAGATCAAAATCCGAAACAAAACTTGCTGGCGACTCACTGGTCGAAACGTGTCTAAACGGTCTAGAAGTTGTATGTTCATGTCTGTTCAAAATCTCTGCTGAGATCAACACGGGCTCCTTTTAGCCTTGTCAGGGAGAATCTGCAACCCACTTGATAGACTGATAAACTATGATCAGCTGCTGAAACCAAAGCAGAACACGCAACCTCTGATGCCCAATGCTGGCCCTCAGCGGATTGTGACTCTGACGGAAACCAAGGCTTCGGCGTTCCGGCTGCCGGTTGGACTGAAGCTCTGCCACCTTCATCCTTCGGAAAAGCTGGTGGATAAGTGGATAAGCACGGTGTACCCCAACCTTCCTTACATCCTCATCGTATGTTCAACATTGTTCAGCCATCATTTGTATGGCTCCTACTGTTGTTAAATCTTATTTTTGACACTCTTATGAGGTCACGAGCCAAAGATTGTCAATGTCCTTGCTCGCCATGGTTTCAAGCAATCGCTTTTGCCTGTCATCGGGACTGTCCACACTGCGCAAGAAAAGGCTCAGCTCAGCATCTTAGCATCTTCAAGGCATGCTGCGGCATGCTGCTTGAAGGCTACAAAGCCAAGCTTGGTGGGTCTCAAACATGACAGCTTCGCGTGAGATATTGCTTCTGAATCTCTGCCCTCATTCCTAGGACTAGAAGAGCGACAGCAGAGCTGGTTTTCGGCTTAGAGCTCCAGAAGCACAAGTAGCATGGTCTTGTCAAGCGGAACTCCCACCGAGTCTACTGTAACATATTGGAACAGCCCCAAACCGACTTCCAGCAGCATCGGGCCTTCCAGTTGTTTTTCAACCTCACCTGAAAACATGTCCAGTCTCTATGCACATCCGATTGCAGAGAAAAATGCAGGAAAAAAGTTGTGGGTGGATGAAACATGACATGAAAAGGATGAACAGAGAGGCTAATCACTGCGGGTGTTCATCTGTCCAAGTGGCCTAGCTCATCTTCCCGCAAGCGCACATTCCTCTCCCACTCCTGGTCCAGTGTAGAAACCCAACACTTCAATGTTTTGGCATCTCAACATGTCAATGTGGAGAATTAACAACAACTGACCGACCAAAGGTATGTTCTTGGTCGCGCCAGCACAGCAATCGTTCCGCAGATCTGTTGGGCAGTGAAACAAGCATGGAAACAAATTTCCTTATGTTCAACCGAAAAGCAGCTTGCTTCGCAGGGGCATTCCAGGGTCATGATCCACTTGCTTGGTTGCTTCAGGTAAGGTAGATGCTAGAGAAGGTTTAGCTCCTGAAGCCGATCAACCTCAGAGTGAATCGCATCACCCACGTGCAAAAGGACTGCCTTCGCCGCAGCATGTGCCATCTGTTGTCAGTTGTGCCAGGCTTGATGGATCATCGCTGGGAAATTGAACAAAGAATGAAGGCAGCAAGATAGTGGGAAACTATGGGAAACTCCTGCACCAACGATCAAGAAAAAAGCTTATTACATCTTCTTATAGTATATAAATCACAAGACCACATTGCCTGGTGCTCGACAAGCTGATCACGGCACCTTCACATTCAACAAAAAAAAAGTACAACAAACAGAAACGTTCTGTGTCCGGCTGCTCCGACAGTACAAACAGCAAGCTTCTAAATGTTCAAAACATGCTTAGAGAATCTTAGAGATTGGATTGGATCTGTGCATAGGTGTGCAGTTTTGGAAGTTGTTGGGATCCAGCCTTTCCATCTCACTACGGACTTCCGCAAGTCGCCGCCACTCGTCGGCAGCAGACCAAGCGAGCCGCGAAGAGGCCTGGCGAAGCAAACAAGTCAAACAAGCTAAAAGCTACCGAAGCTGGAGAGCTACGGAAGCTGACAGATATTGACAGCTTGGAAACTCGCCGTGCCTCTGAAGGATCGGCTCGATCTCCTTTCACACCTGGCCACTGGGCAACTTTTCTCGGAGCTGCATGCCATTTGAGTTCAGTTCCTAGCTCTACAAGCGCCTCCGGTCAATGCCACTGTTGTGACATCAGGAGGTGGAATGTCCTTGAGGACACATGTAGCAGAGTCATCGCATCCGCGCAGTGGAACTCATCGTGACTCAGGCCACAGCTGGCACTGGCAGAGGTGGATTTTCTCGCAGCCATCGCAAAGACCTCAGCTATGCAAAAAGTCATGGGCGCATGGGTCTACAACTGCAGTATAAACTGTATATAAGTATATACTATTTACGTCTATATATACATATAATTATATATATATATACTTTATATATATACACACACATTATATATATATACACTCCTTTGCGCTGTGAAGACATTCAGCCTCAACAAGATCTATAGATGCCTTTTACCATAGAGAGATCCTTGGAGCTTGGTTCACAATGGTTCGCACCCATAGAGTAAGAAATGCCAGAAATTAGCTGAGTGCCCTACGGTAGCTGGTCAGTGAAAGTGCCTCCCGCTCCCTTCAGGATGCGACCATTGCCTTTGCCCTTGGCCTTCCCAAACGCATTCAGAGGATAGAGTTAGGCAGGCAGACGGTGCAAACTATGCCAAAGTATCGACGCGTCAAACCCTTGTTGCGCTTCAGACATCTTTGTTCCGAAGCCTAATCTTGGCAGAACGAGACCTTATCCTGAAGCTGGTTCACTGATGGCATCGGCACCTTGGCCTCTGCATTGATCTTTTCAGGGATCAAACCTTGGAGGGACTGGACCAGGGAGATGACTCAAAACAGTCAGAGTCAGAAAAAGATCTTGGCCCATTGGCCAAGCGTAAACTACCAGCCACCAGCTGCCACCAACTGCCACCAACTGCCACCAGCTGCCATCAGTTCAGATGAGCTGCCGATGATTCTGGGCATCAGAGGCGACCCTCGAATGGGATGCCCGTCCAGGAGGACCTGTGTAGCTGGGCAAGAGCACAAACATTGCCAGCATATGGAGAGCAAACCAGAAATCCGACTCGGTCAGATCCATGGGCTCAAGTGGCAAGTAGGCTGCAGCAACATGCTGACTATTCATTTGCACAGTTTCTTCGCATCAGCTTGCCTCCAATTTCAAGGGGCCTTGTGCCCAGTCAGGCACAGAGTATGTGACTGTATACGTACCATCCTGTCATCCAGGACAAGTGCAGGTACATATGCATGCATAAGCAAGCATTTCTGCATTTCCAACCATACTTGGGCATGTGAATTCCACCCACAATACTGAATCTAACATAGCCTCGTTGTCACTGACCTCATGCAGCCGCACATGGGCACTGGCACGAACGCCGAAACCTGAGTCTCAAGGCCCTGGCAGAAACCTGATTCTCCACTGCACTTGAAAAACTCCAAACAAAAAATACTGGGGGTGCGTCGTGCTCCTCCCTCTCCGCACAGATTGCCAAATTCGTCCATCGCCTTGGCTCATCATCGACGAAAAAAAAAACATTGCATTTTGACACGCCTCTCGCTGATCTCCGCTGAGTGCCATGCTTGGATGGTAAACTCTGCCGAACCACCCAAAGTGCAGCGCTGCACGCCTTCTCCACGCACCTGCCAAACCAAGATTGTTTCTCCCAAACTAAGACAACTGCGAAGCGAAGCACTTGGATGTGAACAGGTGACATCTGCGCAAAACTTTGATTCTGCCTGAGTTGTGGTCGCGCTTGGAGATCCCGGCCTGAATCACTCAGGCGATTTCCAGCCAGCTTGCCAGTTTCAAATAGTTTCAAGCTAGAACGTATTTCACCTTAGCGCCAGACGCAATGTGAATGACTACCGGACCTGAGTGCCAGGTGAGCGAAATAATTGGGCTCGCAGTTGGAGGAGCTTCAAATGCTGCAGACCTTACTAAGCCTTACAATCTCCGGGGCCCCGACACATGGGCAGTTTGTTACCATCCACAAAGGCACTGATCTCATAGCTGCCCGGTGTAGCGCAGACAAACTGAACATGGTAGGTGCCATCCTCCATTCGGTCAATGATTCCCCTCTTCCCAAAACTCATCAAATAAGCCGAAATAGCGACTGTAGCCCAGCCTGTAAATCTTCCACGAACGGTCGTGGCTCTGGTTGAGTTTTGGACATTAGATTGGTGCCAGTCCTGGCAGCAGATCTATTCGATCATTTTAAGAAAAGTTGCTGTTGTTGTTGGTTTTCCGGTTTTCAGTTTCAAGCTGAGGAGAGTACACAATGCAAGTGACTGATGAACCGCCCTCTTTCATGACCTGGGCAAAGTCTCACGCAAGTGTCTCACAATGTCTCACATGTCTTCTTCCATTGCGCGTCACGTTTGTTGTGAATTGGTATTGTCATTCGCTATGAGGTTCTCACATCGCCATCCTCAGAGATCGCGGTAACCTGCTTCATACAACTGTTGCAGCGATTGCAATCGAAAATTGTAAGACGTCACTCGCTATGCGCCCACTGGTGACATCTGGTGACCCTCATTGAAATGTTGCTTTAAGTTTGCCAAGTTTGCCAAGTTTGCCGTACCCTGAGCATTCCTGGGCCCTTGGCAGTGAACTGGAGGCGGTCACCACATTTGCCACCAACCAACGCAGGCCCATGAGCTAGGCAATTGGCAGCCTGGGAATAGGAGTCGCGAAATTCATAAGTTGTTCATGAAAGGCACTTTTGTGATCTTCTCTGTCCTTCAGTATTGTGATCCTGGGATCCTCAGCACCCCCCCGTCATGCTTTTTCCACCCTGCCTTGGCCTTTATCGCACGAGGCAAGGCAGGCCTGGGCTTGGACGTGAGGCATCCCTGCCATCATCAAGGTTGCTGGATCCAAACATTCCAGGCAATTCTAGGATTCAAGCTGTTCTAAGGCCTTTTTCTGCGCTGAGATAACTTCATCAGCCCTGAGACCAATCGGCAAAAAGTAACTGCATGCGGCATGGCATACAGGGTCATCAAGGCACAAATCCGTTGCTTTCGCCAAGACTTGCAGCTTGGGACCGTCCTTGTTCCTTCGACTCCCACCCGTGGAGGTCTTTGCCTCACAAGCAACACACTTGCGGCCAACTCGGAGTAAAAGACATTGGCAAACTGATGTGCCAGGGTTATATATATCCATGAACCAATGACACCAGCATAAGTGTTCCTGGTTTAAATCTGCTTTCAGCCTTGTATCTATTTGTTTCTTGCAGCCCAGTGACCGGAAGCCCAGGCCAGCTTTGGAACCCCTGCCCGGTGTGGCAAAATGATGCAGGGATATCCAGGGTACTTCCGGTCCCACGTGCCATGCTTGAAGGCACAAAGATTTATCTTCGAAGTGCTACAGTATAAAACAGCGTCTCATATGCCTTGTGATGCCTTGTGATGCCTTGTGATGCCTTGTGATGCCTTGTGATGGCTTGTGCATCTTTGCAAACAATCTGCTTTAAAATGTTCCTTCTTCGTCTTCCTATCTTTCCCTCGCTCCTTGCTAGCGGCCCAAGGAGAGAGTCTACGTCCAATGAATTCAGATCGATTCCAAGCAGCAGGGAACCTGCAGGCAGCAGGTCATTGAGCCAACTGAGGAAGTCAAACGAAGTCAAACAAACTGGTCGAGAACACTCCAAGTTTCAGAACTGTTCAGAACATTCATTTCATCGCACTCCTTTTGAACTGGTTTTAAAGCAAGCATTGCATCACCATCTCTTCGTCACGTCTCCATGGTCAGAATCCCAACAACTTCCCATGCATCCTTCGTCATCCGCCATGACAGTGAAGAGCTCAAGCCATTGGGAGCTGGGCCAGTGGCCCTCAAAGCTCGTGGCACAAATCTGGGGAGAATCACCATATGATACGATATGTATGGTCCATATGGTCATCACTTTCTCATCCGAGTCATCGGTATCTTCGTCCTTGCTTGACAACGCTTGCTCCTATGCTCAAACATGTTTGACAAACAAGACTTTGCCAACAGATCGGGTAAGCAGAAACAGTGTAGTGGTTGCATCAATCTATGTACTGTATGAGACCTTTTTGATTGGCTGCTTCCAAAAGATTTCAAGTAGTGTTCCATCTCATGCCTTCTGTCCGTTTCAAAAAGTTGCTGCTCTAAGGCTCTTTGCAACCCAAAGGGCTTCCGTGATCACTGGATGGGCGAATGGGAATGGGGATGCACATTGCATACAAATTGGGCATGCTCTGAGCAGTATTTCACTCTGCACAGCCCATATCAACAAAGAGGAAAATAAAATGCAATGAAATGCAAGCATGCCCTGACTCTTCCCAATAGAAAGAGCTTTCCCCTTCCTCTCCCTGTCGAACAAAATGGGTCAACATCTCAGCTTTAAGCAAATCACAACTTGGCAAAGTGAATGCATCTGCTCCCCAACAAGTGTGCATGCAACCACTATTGAGCACATTAAATATGACGAGGCATATGAGTCAATGACCTATTCTGAATACTTTGCCCCTCCAATCTCTGAACTCTCTTGAAATGATTGCTAGTTCCCACTACCATGTTCAGGTGGCAAACTTGAAAGGCAATCTACAGCACCACTTCGCACCAAAATGCTCAACACCCCCCCCCGGGCGAGAAGAACGAAGAAGAACTGCTCATCGCAAACAAACCAACTTTCAAGATCTTTCAAAAGCATTTGCTGTATTCCCTTTCCGATGCAATTAAAAGCCTACAACCGTCAGACTTACCAGAACATATGACCAAAAAGGATGAAGTTCTCGTGGTTTGAGCAAGGGTGCAGTTTCAAATTCTCGCGCTCCAAATACCAGCTGTTGGGTGAACCAAGATTCATGTTAGGTGCAGAAACAGGACAATTAGCACCCAAACTTTTAAACCAAGGAAAGCCGTCTCCGCAAACCGAAGCCTTCTTTGCATGACTCGCAAAGATTTCTCTCACAAAGGCTGGCGGCCAATGTGCACACATACTCCTACAGTTTCGCAGGATCCAACTATTCCAAGTGGACACTTGTCCCCGCCATCAGGCAATCAGGCTCCGTGACGACGTACGCGTTGTCGCATTGCGGTCAGTTGTTCTCAAGGAATCAATTTTTCACGCCTCAGATTTTTACACATCAAATCACTACGGAAAACAAATGCTACCTGCCAAAAGTGGAGACATCAACTTGGCACGCGACCTGAAGAACTCTTTCATGTGGCTTACTTGCCAAAGGACAAGTCCACCTTCCATTGCCTGCACATGGCAAGAAGAGAAAAAAAG